AAAAAAAACTTGTCTTTTAGGCATTTGAGCTGCCAAGACTCATTGGTTCTGCTAGTCGACACTGTTCATTCGTTTGACTTAAAACAGTTTGTTGTTGTTTGAAAAGCTACATTTACATGTGACGGACCATTGTTTTGCCCATGTCTGGTAGTTTTCCTCCAATGTGCATTCATGCGTTCATCTCTTTGGGCTGCTCTCTACATCCCGCCTCTTTGAACACATTTCAAAATGGTGCTGTACATTTGTGGTACTCCTTCTGCTTTTTGTTGCCAAAAACGTACAAAGATGTATTCTTAGATGAGTGTATTTTGTAAGTTTACCACTTTGGTCTTAAAAAAAAAAACATCTGTGGCTTTGATTACGGTGGCCTGATTTTTTTTAAAATGTATTTTCAACCTGGAAAGAAAATGCAGCCATTTTGGCCTTTTGCCTTTGACAGGCACAGATTGAAGATCTGAATTCAGGTAAACCCAAGAGAACGACTAGTAATAACTGTGAATCACCTCGACTTATACAGGAAAACCTCACCTGCCTGTTAGATCAGATTTCCTCTTCTTTAAAGGGTCGTTACAGTAAAGCCTCTCCTACCTGAACAGACTTTGCTGTAGAAATTTAAGTTTTGTGATCGGCTTTTAGACAGAAAGCCTTTAAATTTTGTGGAAACTGCCACTAATGAACATGAAGCAGGCCAGTACTGAGCATCAGCAAACATGAAACGACAATAAAAACTGGAGCCCCGACTAATTGAACCACGTCATCAAACAGAAAGATGACATTAACGTAATAAGATTATTACTGAATGCCTAACCTGCTTATCAACCAAAGATATTTAAGAATATTCAACTGTTATCTAATGTAGACTAAGAAAACTCTGCACAGTAGATAATCTTCCATCATGTTTTCCACCATTAATTTACACTGCTGTATTATCCAGGTGTAAATATTTTTTTTCTGTATTTTTGCAAACTCAGTAGGGCCATTTTCACTTGAATGCGAAAGGAGTTCGACCACGGTGAAGTGAAATATTCTCACATCTCTGCCTGAGTGCTTTGTGATATTGTGCTAGTGCTTCCTGTAGGACAAAATGCACGGTATGCAAAGTTCATGATTAGATTAAAAGCAACATTAGATGTTAAGGTGTTAAACATTTTATAAAATTCATTTCCTGCATGATTATCGAAATCTTTTGCCATAAAATAAAAATATTTGAAATAAGCACTGCTGTTTGTGTACACAATATTTTTTAGGACAATGCTAAAAGTTTGATGTTTGCTAGTGTAACATGTAACACAAGTACGAAGTGAAGGCTGCCGGGGATGTCATTAGAATTGCAAATAATTAGCATGAACTGGTTCTTTGAACAGAATCTACCTTTGAGCGTGCGAGTTTGATGAAAATGTAGTTCATAGCTGCTAATTACTGGTCAGTAAGTGATGGCTAATATGAACGGTTACTGAAGTCCAGTAGGCTGAAACATTAGCATGATTGTTTTCAGAAAAAACGTATTTGTCAACTCTTAAGTTTTGTGTGAGCGCAGCTTTTTGTCTTCCCTTTTTAAAATAAATAAATAAATAAAAAATCCTTGGGTATTCAAGACTGGAGCTAAATTAAATGTAGGTATAATCAGGTAATTGCTGGAACATGAATACCTAAACTAAATATATCAATTCCTTCAATAGCTAGTAAGACATTTCACTAAAAACGAAATAAATAAATAACCAGCTCAAGTGAAACTTGCATCATCAAAGTCATCTGACAGGTCTTTTTGAGACCATAAATGTCTCCTTTCATGTGAAAATAAAATACAAGTACACACAATGATTCTGTGTGTTGTAGACACTTTCAGTAATAAGTTAAAATAATTGCCTTATGTATGAATTTCTCAGTCGGTCATTTAGTTGTTGAGGAATTTAAGCCCACTCTCGTTTACAGCTGCTTCAGCTCACTGAGGTTTGCAGGCATTTATTTACACACATCTCTCTTAAGTTTAAACACAGCACTTGGAACAGGTAAAGTCTGGACTTTGATGACTGGGCCATTGCAATACTTTGATTCTTTTTTTCTTCTTCCGTTGTACATTTGCCCAATTTAGCCAAACATTAGCTGTTTGGAGATGTCCCCACATTTGACACCGGGACTCTTTGGTATACAGAGGACTCAGTGACAGCCTAGTGCCCAAATCACCAACCCTTTTATTTATTTATTTATTTTTATTGCCAAACATTGGTGCTATCCATTATGATCAAGGATTTCCACTTCTGTCTAATCTCTCCAAAGGGCACTGTTATGTCCAAGTCTTGTGATTTATCCAGATAAAAACATGATTTCAGTTCATCCTTTGCAAACCCACACCATACTGCCATGTTCCTTTTAGAAAAGAGGCGATCTCCTGGCGAACCTCCCAAAGATGCTTTGCTTGTCTTTTTCAAATTCTACTCTCATAACCGTTAACATTTAATGTACTGAGGCCTGTAGCATGTGAGATGTAGCTCTTGTGTTTTTTATACTCTGAGCATTTCACAGCTTTACCTTGGAGTGAGTTTGCTGGGATGTTTCCTCCCTTATTAAAAATCTAATTGTAGAATGACGGATTTAATCTCTCACCTCCAGTTTTCTTTTGACGTGTCCGTTACACCAGGGATTTGTCTAGTGAGGTACTGCATGCCTTGTCGAGAGAGTCGCTGTGACAAACTGATACAGAGCATATGAATGTGTTGTGATTTATACACATTGTAGTCAGAAGTTCTCTAATCCACACAGAGTCAACGCTTCAATAGATAATCAATTCAAACATTTCCTTTGACTCTGCTGAAGTCAGAGGAAAACTGTCAAACAAGATGCTTTATTCCATCAAAATGAAATACCAGAGAAGAGCAAAATACAGGCTTGGCACAAGAGGGCAGCATCTCATTATATGATTCCCACAGACCCACGTCTTTCCCTCATCCAGCTTTCACAGTGGCTATGTTCCTCATCTGGATCTCATTATCACTTCATCCTCTTCCTTATCAGACTTTTTGTCTGCTAGCTCTTATTATCTGTTATTTATTGCCAGTCATTCTCACACTGGTTTATAGGGCCATTTTCTTTCCTTTGTTAGTAATCTTTGTTTCTCTTCCTTCTGCATGCTGAATTTTAGCTTCATACCACTTAGTTAAGACATAAATTTAATGACACTGCTCTAGTCTCAGTTTATTTTATAGCGAGTATGAAACTGATTTAAAGGGCTTTTTGAAATTTGCTTTAAATTAGCTTTATTTTTCTAGAAGCCACAAGATCCTGCAGCATCTTATTAAAATAGTAGAAAGTTAAAGCATACAGCTGTTTCTTTGTCTGGTGTTTTTGTCAAAGAATGACATTTCCTCTCTCTGTGTATCTGACCTCTGAACACAAACTTGCACACTATCCTCTAGCCATTCTTCCCTGGAGTGTCTGTATCACATCTTATGCCTGC